TATTTAGTTTTAGAAAAACAATTTTTATTACACATAAAGTCGAAAACAAAAAAACAAAAATTTATACTTATTCTATCAATATTACTAATATAATTTATTAATCAGTACTTCATTATTTAATGTTCTGTATATAAAAACATGCTTTGTCGCTCTTACTACTTTTTTCTTGTTTTTTTAACTTGGTTTAAGCCATCTACATATGTGTGTATGTGTATATATATATATATATATATATATATATATACACACACACATTTATATATATATATACACACACATATTTATATATATATATATATACACACACACACATTTATATATATATATACACACATTTATATATATATATATATATATATATATATATATATATATATATATATATATATATATATATATATATATATATATATATATATATACATTTATATATGTATATATATATATATATGTATATATATATATATATATATATACATATATATCTTATACTGCTGAGTTAGGTAAGCATGATGGCGTCATACTGAAATAGCCTGCTGCCGGGGTATTCAGTACATACATCGACTGACAACCTTTTCATTCATTATTCTTCGTTTTCTTCTTGTTTTTCTCAAAAATCTATATTGATTTAGATAAGCAAAAAAAGTGAGCAATTGCACATATATGCTAGTAGATCATCAGCCATGTAATACAAAATCAAGAAATAAAAAATCCGTTAAAATATAAAGTTTCTCCGTTGTCATAACAACAAACAACAGAAAGAAAAAGAAAAAAAAAAAGAAAAAACTATAAAGGTTGCCTAATTACCCGATTCGAACTTTGAAAGAAGAAATTTGCTTTTATGTTTACATTTAGAAACTAATTCATTCTTTTTATTTAAAAAGTTGTCATTGGTGTAAAATATTATGAGATACTTTTCAAATAAACAAAGATTGCAACGTTTTACTGTGGGATTGTAAGATCTACAACGTTTTACAATTTCCATTCAATTGTCGAGCTTACTCCACTTTTTTTTAACCTCCATATTTCCTTAAATAATTTTTTGTATGGTTAGTGTATCTAAGTTTGAATGTGGTTTCACTCACTCCAAAATACACTTTTTAATTTCTGTCCAGAGTGCCTGGGTACAAAATGGCTTGATAAACTATGTTATTTACAAGGCAGTTTTGATTTAGAGGTCACTTGCTTTTAATAATACAATAGCAATGTTTATTGGAATCAGATGTGTTGTTTTTCATTATATGATGATTATAAGAGTTAACTATTGATTTGATGTTTGGCATACAACTGTAACTCACTTTTAGAGTATTTCTATTAATAATCTTGTGGTATTTATGGCCAGCTGGGAAGTGTTTGTCTATTAAACTTAAATAGAGTTTACCAATTTTTGTAGAAACTTTTTTACTATATGGAAGGTTAAACCAGATTATATTGCGCTTACGATTTTTTGATAGAGGTTGGATAGGTTTTGGAATATAGTTAAGTTTGAATTTGTAATCAGACTTTTTTCATTTTACGAAACGATCTGAAAGATTATCATTGAGGTTCAGTGTCACCTCAAGAAAGTACACAACTTTCATGTTACATTGTATAAAAATAGAAAGTTTGTAATTTTTAAAAATTTGAATATGTTTTTTTATTGCATCCATGCGGTGGCCATTTGCATTTTTAAAAACTGCTAACCCATCGTCTCGGTATAAGCCAAAATCTGTTTTGTTATAATGCTGGGATAGCTGAAAAAGAAGAAAAATTCCGACAAGCTCGCATACCTCTGCTCCCTCAAAAGCACCCATTGCAACATCAAACAAACCACTGTTCTTTTTAATCCAAGGTTGTTCTTTATTAAACAACAATGATTTTCGGGCTTGTTTAATTATTAGTTTATCTTCGTTTTTGATGGTTACATATTTCTCAGCAAATTTATAAAAAAAAAATTTATATATAGAAGGATAAAAACCAATAATGTAAAAAATTGAAAATTTATAAAATTGTTTGTTTTTAATACCTTTGAACCAATCTAAAACGTTTTGCGTGCTTTTCTATTGATTGAGACTGAGAATATTTTTCAGCTCAGCAATGACGTTAGATAAAATAAATTTACTGATTCTTCCGATTTCATTTTTTGCTGGATTTAAAAGACGGACAGTAGGTTTGTTTAAAAAATTGTCTTTATGATATATATATATATATATATATATATATATATATATATATATATATATATATATATATATATATATATATATATATGTATATATATATATATATATATATATATATATATATATATATATATATATATATATATATATATATATATATATATATATATATATATATATATATATATATAATGCTCTATTAAATAAATAAATCCTTAAAAAAAATTGAGCACTCTTATACGTACAAAAGTTATTGTATTTTATTTACAAATACAAAATACCATTTAATATTATATATATATATATATATATATATATATATATATATATATATATATATATATATATATATATATATATATATATATATATATACGGCATTAACACACCGCATTGCCCTCAACAGATTAAAGATATATGTGTATTTGAAAAAGATTTATTTGAAATAATTAAAAATATACAGTTTAGGAAGATCCTATGCAACTTTCAAAATAAATTTAAAAAATGATGTTTTCTCTATTTAAAATTGGAAATTTATCTACGCATATGCAGATAAGACGTCAAACTTATACAAGCTGTTTATATATATGCATATGCAGATAAGACGTCAAACTTATACAAGCTGTTTAAAGATGAATACAATAAATTGATTACAAAAGCTTCCATAACTAATTATAAAAAAACCAATCCAATAATAAAAGATCAGATTAATAAAGAAGGAAAAATTATTTTAAAAAATCACGATGTTTTCAACAAAATCAATATTAATGGATCATGAAACTGTTTCATCGCATTGAAAGATCATAAGGAGGTAATTAAATGGTTCAAAAATATCAATGACAAACATTTTTATAATTTCCTCATTTTTGATATTGTTGATTTTTATCCTTCTATAAACGAGAAACTTCTTATCGACTCTATTTGCTTTGCTGAACAGTATGTTACCATTGCTAACGAGCAAAAATCTTTGATTCGTCGCGTACGGAAATCCTTGTTATTTAACGATAACAAAGTTTGGATAAAAAAATCAGGCAATTTGTTTCACGTCACCATGGGAGCGTTTGATGGTGCCGAGGTATGTGAGTTGGTTGGAATTTTCATTCTTTTCCAAATTTCTCAGTTTTATAACAAGTTTGACTTTGGGCTGTATAGAGATGATGGGTTAGCCGTAGTTAATAACGCCAACGGTCCACAAATGGAAAAAGTTAAAAAACTTATTACTCGGTATTCAAAAGTAACAGCCTTAATATTTCTATTCAATGCAACATAAAAATAGTGAATTAGCTCGCTATTACGTTAAATCTTAATGACTACAGCTTTAAACCTTACCATAAACCTGAAAGTTTGTTAAACTTTATTCATACCAGCTCTAACCACAGCTCTAAGTAATTTAAAACAGCTGCCGACCTCTATTAAACAAAGATTATCGTCAAACTCCTAAAACAAATTAATTTTCGAAATCTTTTCTCCTATTTACAAAGAAACCCTTATAAAGTCTGGACATAGCAGCAATATCGAATATTGTCCTAATTTAAATTTACAAAAAACTAATCGGCATACTAATAAACGCAAACAAACCATCATATGGTTTAATCCCCCTTTTAGTAAGAATGTTGTCATCAAATTAGGAAACCTTTTCTTGAACTTAATCGATTTACATTTCCCAGCACACCACAAGCTGCACAAGATTTTTAAGAGAAACACCATCAAAATAAGTTACAGCTGCATGCCAAATAGTACTATTATTAAGTCCCACAACCAACACATTTTGCACAACCAAAGTACTGAAAACGTTAGAAAATGCAACTATATAGACAGAGCTACGTGTCCTTTAAAAAATCTAACTAAAAATATTGTTTACAAAGCTACCATAACACCAGCGAACATCAACCACGCTAAGAAATCTTATATTGGTATTAGCGAAAAATCCTTCAAGATCAGGTTTGCCAACCACATAAAATCATTTAACTTGGTCACGTATAAAAGTGACACTGAACTTTCTAAAGAAATCTGGAAACTTAAGGAAGCAGGCATTAAACTAATAATCAAGTGGAGTATTGTTAAAAAATGTCAACCCTATAACCCATCCTCAAAAAGGTGAAATTTTTGCATAAATGAGAAATATTTCAACATACAATAAAGAACCTTTGTTAAATAAAAAAAGTGAATTGGTTTCAGCATGTAAGCACAGAAAAAATTTTTGCTATCGAATTTCGATATATGTATATATATATATATATATATATATATATATATATATATATATATATATATATATATATATATATATATATATACACACATATATATACATATATGTATATATATATATACATATACATATATATCTTATACTGCTGAGTTAGGTGAACATGATGATGTCATACTCACCTAATGTCAAATAGCCTGCTGCCGGGGGCTTCGGTACATACATCGACTGACAAATAGCCTGACTCGCCGTGGAGTGCTGCTACATCGACTGAGGGTTTGGTATGGGTCAGCAACATTTTCATTCATTATTCTTCGTTTTCCCTCATCGTTTTCTAAAAATGCTCACTTAATTTAGGCTAGCAAAAAAAGTGAGCAATTGCGCATATAAATATGCTATAGTAGATATATATACATATATATATATATATACATGTATATATATATATATATATATATATATATATATATATATATATATATATATATATATATATATATATATATATATATATATATATATATATATATTTGTTTTTGTAATATATATATATATATATTTGTTTTTATAATATATATATATATATATTTTTTTATGTGTATTTAATTTCGATATTCATTTGTTTTTAGGTGTAAAAAACATGATGTTCCTATTGAAAAAATTTATAATAAAACGCAACGTTTAAAGTTCCAATGGGCTATCGATATGACCGAAGCAGACTTTGAATTTTAGGAAACAATTATTATTTTGTGAGATGTTTCTTTGTTTTTGGAGGTGGGCAATGAGTCAAATAATGGACTAATGAGTCAATTAAAGAATGAATTACTCAAATAGTGAAAAAAATAATGGAAAAGTTAGTCAAATAATGGATGGATAAGTCAAATGATTTACTAAAATCTTTTAAAGAAGTTTTAAATGTTCAACGTTTTTATGGTTGCTAATATTTTCTTTGACAATATTTAACTTTTAATCCATGTTTTAGAAATATAGCAAACAGCGTTGAAAACATGCGAAAGATGATGCAAAGTTTACATATAAATATTGTATTGATTAATATTATTTCATGATAACTATAATTGCACTATACTATTATTCTCAAAACTTGTATTTTGAAGAATTATTTTTTATTTAAAATATCGACGCTTATAACTCACAACCTAAATAATCCAGTGTATAAGTCAAAGATCAAAAAATATATTCAAATATTTTTCCAAAAAAGCGGTTGCGTTATTTGGTTTCTAGACCAATACTCAACGTATTGGTTCAGAAACCAGATTTGCATAATCGAAAAAAACTCAATTTTTTAGAATTAGTTAAAATTAACTTGTTGTTAATAATAATGCTGTTAATACTTTTCTCTTCTTAAATGAATCAGTTGTTTTGCTATGAAACACGTACACGTGGATTCATAAGTTTACACATCAACTAATATTCTATTGGTTCTGATGTGTGAAATACAAATTCAACACGGAAAGATCAAGTGAAAGATTTTAGAAAAAGACAAAGAGGCCATGACACAATCTAGTTCTAATCTAGCATTTGAACAAACATTTTTTTTTTGGTCTTGTTCTTCATTACAATATTTAAGATAAAGATACAAATATATAAAAAAGAAAAGTTGCAAGTGAAAATATCGTTAAAAATTAGGAACTCGGATATTCAAAGAATACTCATCAAAACCGGATACTCAAAGAATACTCACCAAAAATTAGTAACTCGGATACTCAAAGATACTCACCATCAGGTCTTGTCATTAAGAACCGTTGTTGAACAATTTTTTTTTTATTTATACATTTTTTGTTATCATGTTTACTTGCATCAATCGAGTTTTTTTGAACCGCTGACTCGTAAAAACAATTTCCATAATATCATAAATAATCAGCACTGGGTCTTATTTATCAAATATAAAGTTTGTACTAAGGTATTTTCAAATGCAGATTGTCCAAAAAGTTGTGCGGAAGAAACTAATAGGTTATAAAAAGAGCCATTCGATGGTGCGTTACCTTAGAAACCTAGTTACCTAATGTTGATGCGTTTACGCTTCTACCAATGGATGGTTCACCTCCTAAAGTAGCATACATACATATATTTAAAATACGCATATATACATATACGGAGTAACTTTGATAGGTTTTTGAGCATTTTTGCAAATAAACTCTTTCGTATAAATTTTTTTTTGAATTTTATTTTTTCGATATAAAATTATATCTTTCCTTTATAGGATTGCATTAAATATAATTATTTATATCAATTATTTATATTTTTAAGTCAAAAATGTTATCAATCTCAATCCTTTGTTGGGGTGACTTTGATGGGACGACTGAATAAACGCGAATTTCATAAATGCGAACTGGCATAAGTGCAAATCAGTTACAAAAACTGGCAAAAGTGCAAACTGGCATAAGTGCGAATTGGCATAAGTGCGCCAAACAAATTTGCAAACATTGGCAGTGCGAAATACTAATTTGAATATATTTCAAATATTGGCATAAGTGCAAAATACTAATTTGCACTTATGCCAATATTTGAAATTTTCTTCAGCGCACTTATGCCGCACTTATGCCAGTTCGCACTTGTGCCAATGTTTACAAATTTGTTTGGCGCACTTATGCCCATTCGCACTTATGCCAGTTTTTGTAACTGCTTCGCACTTATGCCAGTTCGCACTTATGCCAATTCACACTTATGCCAATGTTTGCAAAATGTTTTGGCGCACCTATGCCAATTTGCACATATGCTATTTCGCACTTATACCAGTTTTTGCAACGTTTCGCACTTATACCAGTTCGCACATATGCCAATTCGCGCTTATGCAGCCTTCCGACTTTATTATTTCTTAAAAGCTTATTAACTAAGCCATCTTTACAAGTCTCATTAATACTTTTTTTTGGAGTTTTTTTAATTAAGATTGGTTATTGAATATATCCACAAAAAGGACAAAAAAATAAAAAAACAATTTGGCGTTAATATGCTAAACATAACAATATAATAAATCCATAACATCATTAGATCAATTGTAATCAGCAGTTATAAAATAAATAAAAAGTACTAATTGTATATAAATATCAAGTAATGTACTTTACTTGTCCGTTTAAAATAAAAAAAGATACCAAACAAAAAAAAAACTAAAAATCACATTTTCTGAAGATTTTACAACAATTGGTTTTAAAACCGGGCTAGGAATTAGTTGTTCTATGTATTACCTTTAAACTGCTGCAGGGTACTAATTAGTAAAATAAATGTTTAAAAGACAAAGTGTTAATTTTATTAAATGAAATATTCTGAGTTCAATCAGTGAATACTTCTGACATTTTCTGATAGCGTGTCCAATTCACTTAACAGATTTTATCAATATTTTTTACATTTGCAAACTCTAGTTGATAACTATTATTTGTCTTCGGTGGTTGAAGATGTTGCAATATACTTAAGAAATGTATAGCAAAAACGATGTCTTTTGCAACAGGATGATTAAACAGATTTCTGGATACTTCTACTCTCCTTAGGAATCTCATATAAAGAATTTTGGGTGTTGGTAAAACCTCAATAATCTGTCTAATGTAGCTCAATTTCACACTTTTTTAAGTTTTTCCTGGGTAGACTACAACATGTCAACTACAACATACAACAGGTTCTTTTTGATTCAACTACAACATACAACAGGTTCTTCTTGACTACAACATAAAACAGGTTCTTCTTGATTAGACTCATTTAAATCAACATCTTTCTTGTCATTACTTTTATTGGGATAACCACTACTACTGACTTCAATGTCTTCTTATTCAGACAAAGATTCAACATACTTTGAAGCTATTTTTGATATTTTGCCTTTTGTTGGCTTTTAGATTTTTTCTATTTTGATGTTAGTTTATAGTGAATGTCGTCTATTGTGATCAATTCTCCGGGTGCAATTTTTTTCCTTCTGTTTCTATTGGTTTTTCCTGCTACATCATTGCCACAGTACATTGTGAGAATAGCTATTACACCCTCATTTAATATTTCTTTTATGGTCTAACCGTCATAGTCTTTGTTGACATTTAGAAGCCGTTTTAAAAAGAGTTTTACCTTAGGGGCCATCTACAAAGTACGTACGCAAGTTTTGAATTCTTTTTTATAAATTACTTTACGCAATTTTTTTTCTTTTAAAATGTTATAATATGATGTAATATATCAAGATTTAAATAAGTATATTAAGTAATACTTTAAGTTTGAATTAAGTACAGAGAACTTCTCTGTACTTATTTCAAACTAAAAATATTACTTAATGTACTTATTTAAATTATAAAATGCTACAGTATTACAACATTTCAAAAGAAATTAAAAAAAAGTTTGCGTACAGTAACTAAAAAAAAAAAAAGAATTCAAAATTTGTGTACGTACTTTATGGATGGCCCCTAAGGTAAAACTCTTTTTAAAACGGCTTCTAAATGTCAACAAAGACTATGACGGTTAGACCATAAAAGAAATATTAAATGTTATTATTAATAGATTTTTTAAAATTTATTAATAACAACTCAGTCTTCTCATAAACTTACCGTTAGTCAATGTAAGTACGTTTTGCCGCGCCTATCCTTAACTGTCAATCAGTGTAAGGAAGCTCAACTGTATCTTGCCCACCAACAGTCATGCATGTCCCCAACAGTCATGCATGCCCCCAACAGTCCATGTAGCAGTCCCCCAACATCCCCCAACAGTCCCCCCAACAGTCTCCCAACATGCATCCAACATCCCAATGCATCCAACATCTCAACATCCTCCCAACAGTCCCCAACATGCATGTCCCCAACAGTCATGCATGCCCCCAACAGTCATGCATGTTTATCACCCATTGCTTATTTCGAACGATCAGTTAATGAATGTTTAGTTTTGTATATAGTTAGTGAATAAAATATTATAATTTTAATTTATTATATCATATACATTAGTAAAATTTAAAAAATCAAACAATTTGTAATAAAATGTTTATTAGCAATGATAAAAAGTGTTATAAATAAAATGATTTAAAAAGACTTTTAAAAGTACTGTAAAACTTAGCAGCATACTATACAACAACCAAACAACAATACTGTGCTCAACTGACTGAATCAATGGTGGACAATGCCGGCAAGCATTTTTCTAGCGCCTTTTGCAAGTTATTGGATACTTTGGCATAGGAAAAGCATGGTTTGAGTGTTGCGTCCCTCAAAATTGGAACACTACAATATCAAACAGTGTGCTGCATCACAAAATAAGTGATTCTTCACCTATAAAATGACAGGGTGCGATGAAAAGCTTTTTAGCCATAATGTAATAATTATTAGATATAATATTGCGGTCGAATCTTGTTAGATAATATGGTAATTACTTTTATTTTATTTATTTATTTCCTTTACCATTTAATAAAATTTACAATAAAAAAAATAGCACACATTTAATAAATGGCCGGAGCAAGACGTATATTGTTTTATCGCTGAACCCCGTTTACATTGTCGCCTTCAGTTTATGTAACAAGTTAAAATTAAAAGTTAAATATTTACAGGTTAAAAATTATATAATAAAACACAATATATTACAAGTAGTAAATCGTATAATAAGATATTTTTTCTTTTAGTTATTTATTTTTCTTTTTATAAGAAGAAAATAAGGAACAAATCAAGACAGAAATAAGTGAGTTATGATGACTTTCTTAAGTTTAATTTATTTAGGTACTTATTTAAAAAAAAAAAAAATTAAGATTGAATTAATTTTCTAATAGAAATCGTTTAGATTCTCTTTTGAATTGTTCTAGTGAGAAATTTAGAAGGAGAATTACCGTTTATTATACTATTGTTTCAGTTACAAAATTTAAAAGTACTCGGTGTAGTTAAGGCGATTTACAAAATATTTGAATACTTTTATTTGGAATTAGCATGATTTTGTCAGCATGTTATGTCCAAACAAGATCTTTAAATGCTATAATTTTTTTTGCTCAAAGTTTTTATAATATTTAAAGAAACTTTTCTTTTTTTTATATAATTTTCAAAACCTTTTTACTACCTGTAATAGTGTATCTAAAAAACACTATTTTGGAGTCTTTAGATCAATTACGCTCATCGACATTAATATAAATTTAGTTGAAATCTTTTGAAAAA